TTTTTTGCCGAAAATTGACAAGTGATGACAGGATATTAAGTTCTGCATTCCGTAAATAGACTTGTATTTTTACATAATCTTTTCTGTTCTTTTCCGCTCTGCTGAACATACCTGGGAAAGTGATGAAAATGCAAGTATCTATGAAACAGTGTATGTATCGTTCTTTCACCAATCATAGTACGATCGCATATACGTAATCAGTATCGCAACAGGGATAAACTTGATTGTAATAAGATAAATTAGTGGACTCTGCATGAAATGTTCTTTATGGCGAGTTAAAAAATCGGGTTACCAATTTATTTCTCCTCTTCCTATAGGTCTTTGGTTATAAACGTTTTTATAGCCTCGTATTTTCTGGTACGTAATTATAAACCATGGACTTATTTATTGTACAAGTATCTCTCTTTCATAACAATTTTGATACTTTAAAAACATCTCCAACAATGTCCTTTAAGTCACAATTTAATGGCTACTTAAGATTTTCATTTTATTTGAAAAAAAGTCAATTAAATTAATTGCCATTAGGGTGTATCGCAAAATTTAAATACTTTGTCTCCTTTTTTAAGAAAAAGGGAAACACCCAAAGAAGATACAATTGTACGAAATGGAACAAATTGAAAGCAAACGCCCATAAGTCGTAGCACATACTGTTATGAATGCACCATAAATACAGCTATATGTATTAAAAGGCGCCATAAATGTCATATTTTAATATATGGATCATTCGCCTTGAGATTGACAAGTCTAAAGATCCGTTGCACAATGACGAAACATGAAACGTATAAAAAGCTGTGTTGAAACCAATGTTTCCTTTATCTCGTGTTACATCATATTAATAGGTACGTGGATAGATCAAAGCTCGAAGCAAGAAATTAGACCATCAACACTGACAGGCCTGATGAACTGTTTTATATTGAAGCCCAAATAGAATCAATATTATCATCTTTGTGTGTAATAGATTTTTGAAATACCACACTCTTTAGTATACGGAGCTGTCAGGTATAATTTAAAGTGTTTATTGTCAGGATGACAAAGGCAAAAAGTAATGAATCTGCCGCAGCATCCCTTCACATTAGGCTCTATGAGCTATTCAGGTGTAAAATCTATTCAGATCTTAGAATGGTTTTATTATGAAATTAGGTAAACGACTGGTTTGCAAATTTTAAGATTTTTTTTTATGTGAGATAAGGCGATTATCTGTTTGCCAATGTTTGGTTTAAATTCTATTTTAATGATATTCTTAACACCAATTAAGGTAACAAAAATTGTTGAAGATTGTATTGTGCTAAATAAAGTCAAGTAGCACTTCCTGGGATGGACTTTGGTTGTGTGAGAGATCTATGAAGATGGCATTTTAATGTAGAATTGAAGAAAAAAACTATAAATAATGTTAGTACTGTCATAAAACTATAATGCTAATTTCCATTTTAATTCAATGTTTATGTCATTTAAAATGCAAATGACCTTTTAAAAGTCATATTTGAAGAAGAATGTAATTCTTCCAAGGATTTTAGAGGGAATGCAAAGTGCTATAATATAGGCTTCTACTTCTTTTTCTAGTTTACAATAACGTTTAACACACTAAATATCTAAAATGGACTTGTCCATCTTAAATGTGGGCCAGACCATTCATCATTTTTAGGGGAAAATTTAAAAATAAGTACTGATTGAATAGTGCTGATCATGGTCAGATGGCACAGAAGGTATGTGCTGGCAAATGTAGGTCTGTGCTGGTTGCATGGGTAGATTTTGTAGCTGCCAGCAGGCTGAGGGTTGATATCGTCAGTGCAGGGCTGCAGGTCATGATCAGATGGGGTGCCGACTGATCTTGATTTGCATTTTTTGCATGAGTATACTGACATTCCCTACCAATAGACTAAGGGTTAATTGTGAAATTCTCCTTCATGCAGATTGGTGTAAGTGAATCTTTGTTAAACAGAACCAAGGGTATATTTATATATAAAGTTAGTGTCATATAAGATATATCTAATTGCTGGCAAGTAGGCTCTCTAAGAAGTATGACTGTTAGATCTGCACTTTAAAACTGCACTTTAAAAAGAAATCATAATATGAGAAAACTGTCAAAGAAATCAAAGTATGAGAGATAAGAACATTTGTGTGTAGGAGAAAATATAAAACTATGATTTAAAAACAGAACCTGTAGACCTTTGAAAAATGGAAAATTGGAAATTTTTCATTAAGAAACTTTAAAGACCATATTGAAATTTTATATATGTGTTTTATTTCGAACAAGTATTTAAACACATTACATATCTTGAGTTGTCTGCAACTTTGTTTGCGTATTTGAAGTATAAATTTCATGCGTTTTATTTCAGACAAGTATTTAAGCATGTTACATATTTTGATTTGTTTGCAAATTTTAAATGTAAGCAAAGAATGAAATGTAAAGTTTTTATTTTGTTTTGCACTAGGGGAATTTGTCCATTTTCTAGTATAATTAAACCTTAAATAAGCTGTGCAAATGGGATATAAACCGTTTGAAGTAAAATTAAATTATAACTTCCTTTTAATCAGCTATGACATAAATAAACATTAAAGGACTGGTGTTGACAGAAATGGTCATGAAGTAAGGAGGGCTTGTAAAGTTTTAGTGAATGAAGTTAAATTGTGTCGGCCATAACTGTCACTAGCTAATGAACTGAACTGGACTTGTAGTTCCTGCCTCTATTTGTCATTTATTACCCCAATAAGAAGTCTTGAATCTAATGAAATACTTTGGTGAAAGTTGTATCACTGCTGCCTGCAGTTAAACAAAAATTTAGTTTAAATTTTGAAATGATAAAAAAAACGTATGGAAGAAATATGATGGTATATTTTCTGGTGAGGAAATGGCGAATGCTCAAAATCATTGCTGAATGGTTCAGAACCCACATGATAAAATATTATATTCTGAAACACACAATTTTCATGTGTTTTAAAAAACAGAGACATTCTATGTCACAATTCATTCAAGAATGGATCATTAGTTTATAGAAACAACATAATTTTACCAATTTTAAATGTTATGGAAACATTTCATTAAATTTTTAGCTTTACTGGTATTTCATTTAAGGATTATGCACACCTTATATATATTGATAAATATTGATTTATACATGTACGAGGGATGTCCGGAAAGTTCGTAGACAAGGCTATACAATTATTATAAGCAGTCATATTAATAATATGATTAAATATTTTGCTTAAGTATTTATTCTGCTACAAATTTCTAAATTAAAAAACATGATAAAAGTTGTATTCGCAAATCGCCAATCACCATGGCAACATGATCAACGAATCACGGAGCACTTTGATTTCATGACAATAACTACTCTAATAAAAAGTTGCTAAAAGTTGTAATTTTAACGCAAACTCTTGTTTAAATGTTGTGACATCATAGGGTACTATTGCTTGATATTTAGTGAAAATAACGACGTCATACGCAAAGAAACAACTTGTTTACGACGATTTATTATAGGCAATGAAGTTGCGTTAGTTTTGTGTCGCAAAAATGACGTCAAATTCAAGGACGGAGCAACGTAATGTTATTAAACTTCAAAGCAACGCTAATAATGACTATTATCTTTACTTGAAAAACAAAATCAACCATAAATTGTTAAGGGCAACTTGTGTTTAATTGTCAAACACGATAAAGAAGCGGTGATGACAGTATTTTGTATAAGAAGCGTATCAGATGACCAAAAGTAGCATGGCCGAAATGTCGTAGATTGCGTTACAACAATCCTTGAAAAAGGCAGACATTTCACACACTGTATGGGAACCAGTGACACCTTTGTTGTTGTTGTTTTTTGTTTTTTTAATGTAGTATATGAAATTCATAAAGTAATAGCAAGGGAACATAACATGTATAAAGTATATGCCAGACAGATATGGCTGTTTAAATCGGAAGACATTGAATAGTGGATAAACATAAAATTAAATTGACGCCGTTGACGTTGTCAAAGTGCTCCATGACGATGTATATATGTTGTATGTAAATGCTGTAAAAATACAAACATAAGTCACAATTTAGTAATTTTTGATAAATGTGTTCCCTAGATATGTATATTTTTGCTGACAAAATTTGTTCAACGTATGTATTGTTATACAATAAACAATTGAAGAAGTAAATGAACTTTCCGGACATCCCTCGTATATGATTATCCTTAAAAACCTTCAGTCTCTTTTGTCTTCTTTCGATAGTTTTCGTAATACTTGTTTTTAGTACTTGTAACAGGGTGTTTTCTACACTGACATTATTATGTGATAAAATACAAATAGGGTGGCTCCCAGTTATGATCATTAAGGTCTGTAAACCTTAATCAACTTTTGGCATAATTTCATATTTCAATCTTAATATGAATTTAGGGCAAAGTACTGCAAAACTGACATAATTAAAAATCATGTTGAGCGCTGCTGTGTAATAAGACACTGAGTTAATGTATTTTGCAGCTAAGTGAAATGTGAAATTCATGCAGATTATTGAAAAGGGTCATTACTATGACATTAGCATAGTCTAATGGAACTCATTAATGTTTGGAAAAAAAACACTTTTAGTGCCAGTCGTTAATAACACCTTAGTGAAAAATGCCAATCTAACTGTAAAATGGTAAAATGAACCGGAGATCTTATTTGGACATCCATACATGTAAAATAAAAACCCAGCTTCCTCAAAGGCCAAAACAAAATTTGTATCGACTCAGGCAGTTTCAGTGGAGATATGTAGTGCAACTGAAAAACAGAAATTCTTTTTAATTCAAAATAATGGTAAAAGAAATAAAGTTTCATAACTTTTTGAGCAGGAATACCTGTCTTTTTACAATTGTAATATTTAGATTGTAGAATCGTCCTGAAATCCTATTTTCTTCATTAATGTCACTTTAGAAACACCTATTATTCGTGAGAAAAAATATTTAAATGTCTTAAATTCAATTTTAGTACTTTTTCTCCTATAAATGTTGGATGCAAAATGATATTTTTCTGTTTTTTTTATATTTCAGGTGAATGTTTATATAATGGAAAATCGTACTTGGTAAGTTTTATTATCTATTATTTGTAGATGCGGTATTGTTTTGTTTCTTTTTTTACGATTATTTCATGTTAAATGTTACATAAAACAGGCATGTTTTTCAATGGTAACTGTAAAAATTTTAAACTTGTATGCATGGAATCTTTCGTTGAGTGTTTGTCTGTTTGTTCATCTGTCTGTATGTTATGTCTGTCTGTATTGTTCTGTTATCTCTTGGAACCAAAGTGCCGTGTTTTTTTATTCCGGTTTATTAAACATTTCACAGACACGTTTATTTATGTGTAAGGAAGACATAAGAATGTGAGAAATGCTTTAAAAGAATATTCTTTTTCTAATTATGAACTGAAAGACTGGTGTAAATTTATTTCTTGGCTCCCCGTGGCTTACATTTATGTAAAATTATGAAGCGTTAATCGTTGATAAATGTCGTTTCGGCAGAATTTCCGGCTTGTTAATTTATTTAATGAAAAATTTTCATTCGTGCTCCAGTTATTCAAACGAAGGCGACCACATCATACCACAGTGTCGTTTGTTATGAATGAAAATAATCCGGCTTCTTAAATAACCATATTATTACATATAATTGCCCATCCATATTTAGTTTTTCACAAATTCGTATTTACACAACCTCACAATGCCTACTTGTAAAGTAATTGATGCAAACAGCACAAATAATGTCTTTGATATAACACTTTGTAATTTCCCTTATATGAAGATGCTTATATTGTGATATGATAATTAAAATATAATGAAGACTTGACCAGTTTATATAATATTGTCAACATTTAATATGTGGTGTTATGTCTAAGAACGATTTTTATGCCTCCATTACCAGTACTTAGAGTGGGGGGGGGGGAAGGAGGGCCATATAGATTTGCCTGTGTCTATTCTGCTGTCACTGTATCCATCTGTAGACTGACTAACAGTATAGAGGCATCTGTGACCTAGGGGCACATTTAAAATTTGTCTTAATTGTGTAATGCATTCAGATTTTATGAAAGGGCAGTTTTTCGGCCCTTTCTGTCAGTCTTAACTGAGGTATTTATTATATTGAAAATAATATGACAGATTCAGTAAAGATTTTGTTGCAAATAAGTGGTCAAGAAACTTTTGTAAATCAGCTGAAAAATCAAATATTTGCATATTTTAGGGATTATTGGCGGGGTTGCACGGGTGCAAATCCGGGTTATAGTATGGTGAATGTCGGGCGGCGGGCGGGCAGGCGGGCGGCGGCGGGCGGGCGCTGAAAATATTTTCGTAACAGTTTTCTCAGCAACTACTTAACATAGCCTCTTGATATTTGGCATACAGCATAGACACATGGTCCCATACTGTGGGATTTAATTTCAGGTCTGTCGCTCATCCACTTCCTGTTTATCCTCTTAGTTAAATTAGTTAGATTTTTCGACATTAATGGTCAATGGTAGGAAATTTTCGTAACAGTTTTCTCAGCAACTACTTATCACAGCCTCTTGATATTTGGCATACAGCATTGACACATGGTCCCATACGGTGGGATTTTATTTCAGGTCTGTCGCTCATCCACTTCCTGTTATCCACTTAGTTAAATTAGTTAGATTTTCGACATTAATGGTCAATGGTAGGAAATTTTCGTAACAGTTTTCTCAGCAACTACTTATCACAGCCTCTTGATATTTGGCATACAGCAATGACACATGGTCTCATACCGTGGGATTTGATTTCAGGTCTATCGCTCATCCACTTCCTGTCTACCCACTTAGTTAAATTAGTTAGAATTTTCGACATTAATGGTCAATGGTAGGAAATTTTCGTAACAGTTTTCTCAGCAACTACTTATCACAGCCTCGTGATATTTGGCAAACAGCATTGACACATGGTCCCATACCGTGGGATTTGATTTCAGGTCTTTCGCTCATCCACTTCCTGTCTATCCACTTAGTTAAATAAGTTAGATTTTTGGACATTAATGGTCAATGGTAGGAAATTTTCGTAACAGTTTTCTCAGCAACTACTTATTACAGCCTCTTGATATTTGGCAAACAGCATTGACACATGGTCCCATACCGTGGGATTTGATTTCAGGTCTGCAGCTCATCCACGTCCTGTTTATCCACTTAGTTAAATTAGTTAGATTTTTTGACATTAATGGTCAATGGTAGGAAATTTTTCGTAACAGTTTTCTCAGCAACTACTTATAACAGCCTCTTGATATTTGGCATACAGCATAGACACATGGTCCCATACTGTGGGATTTAATTTCAGGTCTGTCGCTCATCCACTTCCTGTTTATCCACTTAGTTAAATTAGTTAGATTTTTCGACATTAATGGTCAATGGTAGGAAATTTTCGTAACAGTTTTCTCAGCAACTACTTATTACAGCCTCTTGATATTTGGCAAACAGCATTGACACATGGTCCCATACCGTGGGATTTGATTTCAGGTCTGCAGCTCATCCACGTCCTGTTTATCCACTTAGTTAAATTAGTTAGATTTTTTGACATTAATGGTCAATGGTAGGAAATTTTCGTAACAGTTTTCTCAGCAACTACTTATAACAGCCTCTTGATATTTGGCATACAGCATAGACACATGGTCCCATACCGTGGGATTTGATTTCAGGTCTGTCGCTCATTCACTTCCTGTTTATCCACTTAGTTAAATTAGTTAAATTTTTCAACATTAATGGTCAATGGTGAATGGTCAATTTGATTTCAGGTCTGTTGGTCATCCACTTCCTGTTCACATTAATGGTCAATGGTAGGAAATTTTCGTAACATTTTTCTCAGAAACTACTAATCACAGCCTCTTGATATTTTGCATAAAGCATTGACACATGGTCCCATTCAGTGGGATTTGATTTAAGGTGTGTAGCTAATCCACTTCCCGTTTACCTACTGAATTAAATTTTCGACATTAATGGGTCAATGGTAAATTCTTTTCGTAACATCACAGCCTCATGATATTTGGTGTACAAATGCAACCCGGCCTTTTCTGTCTTTGACCCATTTTTTTATATATTCATGACACATTTAGGGATTTTATGAAATGCACGTAACTATGCACCAGGTTTGCCAGGTTGGTATACAATAGTTACGAGCCTGGTCAAACTGCACAGATGTAAGCTGGTCAGGCAGTATACAACAGGTACCAACCTTGTCCGTCTGCATTAATTCAGGTTCGCCAAGCGGTATTATTCAACAGAATCTCACAAAGATGCAGGTTTGTCAGGTGTTATACTGCTAGCATAGGTAACTCATCTTTGTGCAATGCTGCTATTTTTCTTTGGTAAAGAAGTTTTTTGTACGGAAAGTTTTAACATGTGTGAAGACTGAAAAAACATTTTTGTTTATTCATTTTGGCCCTGACATAATATCTACATTATCATAACATATACAACAAGTTATTTTCCCCTCGGCTTTATCATTTCCCCTGGTATATTATAAATTTCTTTATTTTTGTTAAGGCAACATCAAAATTGCAGTAATTCAAACATAATTGTGTAATATCATCTTTTTTACCAAGGCGTGGGGGGATTTTTTTTTTTTTTATTCAAGATAGTTAATGTGGTTTCGCAGGTGTAGGAACAGAAGCATAATAAGTGAGGAAATTATATGATCTGCTTTTAAGGTGGTATTTCTATCTCTTTATGTTGTATATATAATTAATGCAGGTAGTTTGTAAGATTACTATTTATAATGGAGGTGATATATATGTTTTATTAAGTAATCCAAGGTATTTGCAAAGATTTATGGTACATCTTAGTGTCATGTGGTGATAATGCATAAAATGTAATAAATTTACAAAAAGATGCTGGTCTGAATTAAGAACGCATTTTGTTGCCTATTTCAGTTCATTGAAGAAAACCGAGATTTATTTTTAGAAAGAGTAATGAGCGTATTAAAAAACTTGAAACATAATTTTCATACTGAATGATGTGACAATATTTAGACTTGACTCTTCCTATGATCGTGACTGCTAGTATGATTTTTTTTTGCCATTTGCCTTAACCGCTTAACCCCGCTAACCTCTAATATCTGTTCTGTTAAAACACTAAGAAAAGCCACACAGAAAATTTCAAATATAAACTTTCTTTCTTTCTGGTTTTTATTTAATTTTTTTTTTTTGGCGATTTGTTTAAAGTTACGAAAGGTAACAACTGTGATCTGTCTGCTTGCCATGATAAAATGCACTAACATACTGCACACGCATAATCTATCTGTGATCAAAGCCATGCTATACTTTATTTGCGGTAATTAAAATGTACAGGAGATGAAATATATGCTTTGTTTTTTAGCGCAAATCCAGATTAAAGGTTATAGAATACAATACAATCGTAATTATACACCAGGTATAGCCAGGAGAGTGCAGCGATTTAAAGATGCATGCAAACGTTATTATTGTTGGTTACTTAGGCCGAACAGATTTGAACGATAACCCACGGTGATATTGCACAGTCTTCCGCCTCGTTTTACAATCATTGCATTTATTGCATATTTTGCCGAGTACACTGAAAATGTTAATCTATTTCCCATTGCATTGTACAGTTTTTTTGATATGAGAATAAACGGGAATCAGTGTCAATCAGAATTATGTCCTAATCGCTGAATCCTTTCATACAAGTTTGATGCGATGTTACGTCTGTTACCCTACAGGTAGCTGCATTCTCTCCAAATTACTTTTGTACACCAGATGCATGTTGTTGGTAAATCTGCCAATTTTTTGTGCATTGTATATGAATACGATTTGAGGTAGTGAGTAAAAATCCTAGATGAGAGACATTTTTTTTGCTGTACTTTTTTTCCAGACCAATTATTAGTTGTTGGACTATTTGTTGTTATTGTCCACTTTTACCAATTAATTGTCTACAGATTTCTCATTTATTTCCTGAGATTCTTTTATTTCCATTTACAAATTATTGCGGTCCTCAACCATTATAATGTTGTTCTCATTTCCATGTTATTTTTCTTATTTTTCACAGAATTTTTCCCAATTTGTGTGCTTGGGGAAACTTCTGCATGAC